GTTAGTGGCGTGCTAGATTTACACATATGTAATGTATTATGGAAATGTTTATCTTAGATAGTCAATATCTTCAGTAGTTTTTTTCTACGCCAAGCTTATATAAGCTACTCGAAATATTAATCCTGCGCAGACGAAGTCGCGGGCACCAGCTTGTAATAAACCTCAATATATATAAATTACGTGTCACGTTGTTTGTCCGCTATTGACACCTAAACTACCGAACCGATATCAATTAAATTTGCACACCGTGTGTAGTTTGATCCAACTTAAAAGATAGGATAGCTTACATCTCAATTTATTCCCGCAAATTTTTTTGAAAAATATTTGTTTATTATTTGATAGTCACAATTCTAACAGATGGCGCTGTGTTGAAAGTACCAACGTTTCACATAATCTACAATTTAATGGCATAACCACCAAAAAAGCATGGTGGATTGGTGTTCTCCTGCCGTTTCTCTTGAATAGTTTACTACTATGTAATATAACAAAAATCTTAGCCACAGCAACGCTTGGCCGAGTCTTCTAGTAAACATAAAAATTCACGTGAAAACTGTTCATATTATCATTAATGTGTCAGTTATGAATATTTAACCTATTTATACACAATTAGATTTTAATTAACCAAAAACAAAGTTAATGATTCAAATATTGTACTAAATATCATTATTGTGTTTGAATGTTTTAATTAGTTTAATCGGCTTTATTGTTGTTCTATACAAATTCTAAATTTAAGTATTTAATGGTATAATACTTCCGCTTCATTATAATGAACAAGTTGATATTCGTTTGCACGAATTTTTTTACACAAAATTCTTGTAAAAAAAAGAATCCAACTTTCACGATAAAGTATTAAATAACAATATGTCTTATTAAGTTGAATTATCTTGTATTATTCAAGATAATGAAATGTATTAAACTATAATTTATGTCTTGTATTACTAGTTTATTATAATTTATACATAAATTTTTTTTTATTATATTTTTTTGGAAATCGACCATTTCGGTCCGTAATGATGGTATTTAATTTTTTTTGACTCTATTGTCAAATTAATTAGTGAATTAGTATAAGTGCACATTAGTCTAAAGTGGTAAGTAAAAAAATAGAATACAAGAACTGAGTGGCTTCCTTTAAATACAGACTAAGTAATGTTATTGGATAACTGAGCGATTTTTTAAGGCAATTTTGCCGCGTACCACCGCTATGTGGAACACGCTGCCCACTGAAGTATTTCGAACCAATTCAACTTAGGGTCCTTTAAGAAAAGAGCGTACCAATTCTCGAAAGGCCGGCAACGCACTTGCGAGCCTTCTGGCAATGTGAGGGAGCCTACTGTCCGTTTGCCTCCTATTACATAAAAACATCCACACTATGAATACAAAACTTCTTTAGCATAAACGCGAATTTAAACCATAATTTATATCACACGACGTTTCGATTTTCAGTAATTATGTTGACATACTGATTTGCAACTACCAACCTATTTATTCATGACAGGAATATGGTGGTGACACAATTGATCTAACACTAGGAAGCCCTTGTGTAACTTTTTACAATACAAGATTACAATTATTCCGTGGTAAAGTAAAAGTAGTCTTAGGGTTACAATTAGTTAAACAAAATTAACGACCTTAAGTAGGGATGCGTGAAAGTATGTGCATGTGAATGGGTGAATCTTCCCGACAATATGGCGTTAATATTCATTTCAAACTCAATTACAAATTATTTAACAAAATATGATTTCTCACTGATCCCGGTTGATGAAAAGCTGGGTGCTTTGAGTTATACTCGTATATAAATAAATACACGTTTATATGGGTAAAAATGGGTTTATTTAAAAAAGTTTATTTTCGCAGCACTGCTCCCTTAATCAGTCGTAAATAATTTTCTACGTTTTTCAAGTATTATCACTACGCAATTTCATAGACTACCTTACCTCTAAAATTATTATTTTACTTATATACGTATCATGACCAAACGTGACAATACTTCATGATATTAAACAGCCAATAAACTAACCAAAGAGAGACAATTATAAAATACATTTTTAATTATGTTCTAAATTGCGACTGAAAACCACAAAGGAAGCTTCGGTGCGGGTAAAGGCCAGTAATAACAGTTAAGACGTCCCTATTCGGTTGCTAACAGCGCTATTATCCAGAGAAATAGTACAGAGCAATATAATCATAAACACCTGGGCAGGAAAGTGCAATTACGAATAAATCGGATCCTAATTGCATTAGCACTAGCGTGTCTTGATGTAACCTAATTGTTCGTCTGAGCGTACGTGTTGTCGCGCGTTTGTTAGCGGAATAGTATTATAGTCGAAGTTAAATATTTTTTTAAAGATTTCATCATTCATCATAGGGAGCGTTCACGTATTACGTAACGATATTATTTTCCTTTCGTAAAACGTTACGATGCGGGGCGGGGATTGAATTACGCGTTATTGTTAATATTATTTTCGATTTTTCCAGTACTTTACACCACATAATGTACCAGCTCCTTCAGGTTGACCGCATTCAACCAACCACAGTTGCCGCGCACCACCACTATGTGGCTGCTGCCCACTGAAGCTTAACCTAACCAATTCGACTAAGGGTCCTTCAAGAAAAGAGTGTACCAATTCTTAAAAAGCCGGCACCGTACTTGCGACCCTTCTGGTAATGTGAGTGTCCATGGGCGGCGAAATCACTTAAGATCAGATGAGCTTCCTGCCCGTTTGCCTCCTGTCACATAAAAAAAATCTATTATTCATTTATTTTAAAAAGCCATACTAACTAAACATATACATGCATCAATGCCAAGTGCGCACAACATTTATAGAAAAACATGACTATTATAAAAGAGAAAATAAATAATACAACAAAAAAGAATGAACTAGATTAAGAAATACAAATACATGTATTAAATGAAATATGAAATTTAATATATTTCTTCTTTGCAATTGTTATTGGTGACGGAAAAATGGATGCAGCTGCGATTATAATTTCTATTCCATAGCTGGGATTCAAACACAAAACCTTAGGGGTTGTGACTCTAGACTTACATTATAATTGGCCCGTGTTAAATGTAGTTTAAATAGCTTAAACTTTTAAGTAATTAAAAACACATTTTCGTTCTAAAGTTCTTTTAACTTGAGAAAGATACGGTTTTCTCGTTAAGTTTTCGCTTACTATTTATCATAGCTTTTTTAAAAGTCTTTTGAGTTTATATTTATAGAATGATCATTCCAATGTTTGGGGTAATAAATATTGAAGTTGCGAATATTTAAAGTAAAATATAATGTAATTTAAACAAATTTATGTTTAAAAATCATTGATTTATATTGCTGCAAGAGATACATTTTTTTATCGTCAGAATATTTCAACAAATTCTTGTGTATGTGCACTTAATGCAATTGTTTTTTTGGGAGTCAAATCATCCTGTTTATATATCTATGATAGGTCTATGCTATGGTGGGCTACGTTTTTATAAGGTTTCCATATAAGTTAACCGATGAGTGCGATTTTTCGTTCAAACAAAAAAAATTTTTTATAGTATTTTTAATTAGGAATATATCATCCATGTATACAAAATGAAAAATACAAAAATGGAACTACAACCCCACATGGGACTTAGAATCAGATTGCACCCGCTTTTCGATAATTTTTATATATTCCGTTTTCATGCATTTCGTTTCCTTACATAAAAAAAAGAATTGTGTGGTTTTATGAAACCACGGTAAAAGTGAAACTTTTTTTCATATTATAGACATTTAACTAAAAATTTTTGGAATAATATTCCATTAAGGGTATAAAAATCGCTTTATCAATCTTAATTTAATACTTGGAAAATTGGAATGATAATGGGAAATAATAAAAGTAGACTAAGTCTCCAACTAATATTTTTATTAAACTCTACACAGAGTTAACTCTACTTAGAGAGTACGACATACATAATACTTAACAATTATTTAGATTATATACACATATTAAATAATAGTCTATACACTACACGGTCAGCTGCTGCGAACTATAGGCGCCGCCATATTGGCCTTGGCTGCTATGACGAGCGCCTTTCACTTTATCCCTACTCCGCAGCCGACCGTCACACGACATGCAACACACAGACGAAAAAGTTTGAGACGATGTAATAAAAGTTTCATCACTTTAAAAGTTCCATTGGTGACAGTCGTGATTTGATCGTATGACTTCAGGGATGAGGTCGCAGGCTAAAGCCTCTAGGCCAACTCGCACTTGTTGCTAAATAGAAGCTATAAGTTAAAGTAACCGAAACTAATACTTGATTGTGACAAAATAACGTATAAACACATATTATCAGAATTTACGTCGAATTAATTCTTATTCAGCTTCAAATATCGAACCTTTGATTCTACATATTTCAACAATAACATTATTAAAAGACGTTTATAGACATTAAAGACGAGAATCCTCGATTAATTTAGGAAACATAAACTTTGCCCGCTGACAGTGGGTCGGCCTCGTGCTAATATACGTCGTGATGGCGGTAAAAGAAAAATACGGCGTTCGGACAAATGCTTGTGTAATGTGGCCAACACGGGGAAATTGATTGCTAGCTTGCGGAATTTTGTTGCCATTCGCTAAATAAGGGATTGCGGGAAAACTCGTGTCACTTGTTTCTTTATTTGATTGTGTTATGCGGGTTTTGTAATGTTAATTGTCGTGAAGTGTTTATATAAATGTCTATGCATTTAATGTGATTTTGAATTCGAATTTTAAATAATATCTTTATGACTTGAATATCGTTCTTACAGTAAATATTCGATTAAACAACTTTATTTATACTAACTTCTAACTAGTTGACTGTTTTGTTTTGTTTTTATTTCCTTATTTAAAACGTTAAATTTGTTTGCCTACCCATATTTATGTAATTTTTGTTATCACTCAATATGACTTTGCTGTGGAATGGAAGCCTAGTTTGGTAACCCGTCTTCCAATACTTCCATAACTGTGATCTTATTGTTTATTGCAAATGTTTTATGGGAGAAATAAAGAAATTACTATTATTAATATTAAACGGATATAAAGGTATATAAAACTGAAAAACTATTTTTTTCTCTCTGAAAAATGGGCGTGTGGTGTAATAAGTATCCCTTTTTTATTATTGAGGGGAATGCATTTCCGCACAGAGTGTGGGACTCGCTCTAAAAAGCCCTCCCCACTAAACCCCTCCCACCAATCACGTCACTGTTGGGGTAACTTGAGGTCGCGTAAGCATTCTACCAAGAGACCCCATGACTAGCTGCTATAGCAACCATCTTCCATTACATTGACATCGCCTTACAAGTCTTTACAGTAGGGTTGCAATTTCTTGCACCCAACACGTGATTCGCCGGCTGGTTATCGCTCGCACGTAATAAGTATGCCTATTACCACGTTCCACGTGTAACCTAATTTTATTGATATTTAATCTATGTTTTAAATAATAAATGAGAAGTCATACTCGAGATCTTATTGTTTAAATACGTATCCAAATACCTCCCTTATACTGAAACTCATTAGTATCATTTGGATTTTATTAATACACTTTTCGTATGATAACCTAATCTTCCTGGCTAGGGTACCGATACTGGCAACTGGAAAGTTTTGCCATAGAATGGTATCCAGTAGATAAGGAGGGGTAACGTGGGCCGGCCAGCGGGCTCCGACGTAGCTCCGATATTTCCGGAGTAGTTTTTCTCGGGCCTGGTGGGAGCCACCAAACCCACCTGAGCAAATAAAGTCCCTTTTTAGTAACAGGGAGATTTGCCTGCCTAGCTTCTCTGTCACAGATCTGCCTGATCGCGTGCCTGATAGACTACTATGTAGGTGATTTGTATTAAAAAAAGTGACACTTCTGACGTGCGTACAAAGTACACATGTCAGAAGTGTAACTTCTTTGGAAAACTATTTTTTAACTCTTGTTCATATTTATACAAATCTAAAGTTTAGTATTCCTTAGAGTGAGGGGAAAAGGAAGATATGTTAGGAATTCAATGAATTTAATTGTCATTAAAATTAATTAAATCACGTGGCATTTTAATTTAAAATTTGTCATTTGAGATTTTAATAAATTATTTTACATAAAATATAAAATACTAATATTTCAAAAATTCTCCTTACGAAATTTTAATTTCTATCTGTCTTTTACGTTAAATTAAACAATGCTTTATTGAAGTTCTAATATAGTACACATACAATTTTTCAATTGTCTTTGCCTTGTTTCAGAAACGATAGCATTAAGAGATGTGCAGCTTATTGCCCCATCGGCTGTGAAGCTTGGTGACACAGTGCTGCTGGGTTGCAAATGGACTTTAGAGGGCAATGAAACTCTCTACAGTGTCAAGTGGTATAGAGGGCGACAGGAGTTCTTTAGCTATCTGCCCAAAGAATATCCGTTCACGAGAATCTTCGCGCAACCTGGAATTGATGTTGATGTAAGTTTAAATGGTTTCTTCTTTTCTTTAGTTTTAATCAGAAGCTTTTTAATTAAATTCGACGATATGCTGTTTCACAATTTACATTTGAAACCTCTGCCGTGGCCGTCCACCAACCTGATGGACTGATCAAAGAAATCGTCTTCAGAACTGTACACTGTAGAGGTGCTGGACAGAAACTGGTGGAAACAGATAGTCCCCTACAGATGTTTGCTTGTTGACCATGATGCAAATCGGGTAGTAGACTCACATGATGTTAAGTGATACAGCCGCCCATGGACACTCTCAATGCCAGAGAGCTCGCGAGCCGTTCTGTCAATTTGATGTGATAGTATCTCGCTGACGCTGGAAAGCAATCAAAATCGAAAAAGTCGGCTATGTAACAAATTTTATTAATTCGCGGTTGCAATTAATAATAAATATTATAATATGTAAGAAGAGTACGGAGTATCGACGTGGCACTTATGTAAAATTTCCTACGTGTGCTTTCATTTATTCAATAATTTTTCCTTATTAAGTATCAATATGATTACTGTCATACGTAACAGTGTTGTGAATATAAGAAAAATGGTAATTTTGCACTGTACATCAAATCTCACGACGAGTCTTTTTCCGCATAGAACCCTGGCGATATACCAATGGTCCTTGCGATCTCCTCAAAATTTTAATGATAGCCAATTAAAGTTCAAATAAAAACACCTTCTAAGTTAATTAACTGAAAGAACTGAGCACTCCAATTAGTTCAGAACACTTCACATCTGGATCGTCACTTGTTGATCTAGTTAAATATTAAAATGGCATTAAACTAATTGGCTGTGTATAAATCGGTTCTTTTTTGAAATTTAGTCTTAAAACAAATGAAGTGAGACAGTACAGACTTTTTGGAGAGTAATTATATTAAAAAGTGCGATAAAGTCTAGTTGCTGTTACTTTCGTATGGTGTACGTATCATCCTCAAGGTGGAATGATTTCAATTCAATTTGAAAAGGAGCCCTAGAACCTGCTTTAATCAAGTTCAATTTCATCTTGAACTCGGTCCAATATATCAATTTAGATAAATGGTTTGCAACTTTTAAAACTTGATTAAGTTTGACTGTCTTTTGAAATAAACAATTCTATTGAAACGATCTATTTTCGTACCTACGTTTAGAAAAGAATGGTGTTTAATAAAAAAATATTTTATATTAACAATTTTGTCTTATGTTCATACCATTTTATATATAAAAACACTGTTCTTAATATTTAAAGAAAAAACTGTTTGACCGGATTGAAGTTATGTATTATTATAAATTTACAACTATTTAACATAATTTTAAATTTATCCGACGTTTCGCGTGCTTTACAGCGTGCGTGGTCACGGTGACTCCGAATGACGTGTGAATACATAACTTCAATCCGGTCAAACAGTTTTTTCTTTAAATGTGTAAAGGTTATGTAAATCAAAGACAATACTGTTCTTAATATTTCATCAAAATACTCCAAATTTACCGCCAATACGTAAATCAGTTTCGCATTAGATAGAATCATACTAATTAAATATTAAACATGCAAATTCTATCAAATAACTTAAGTGTGTTAGGTAATTCAGTGATACAGGTGTCAAAGTGCTCCCTTAGAGTGGGTCTCAGTGAATTTACATGAAGCAAATTACTAACGTACTACTAATGACTACGTATATCTTATACTTTGAACAATATTGGAGAGACGGACATTATTTTATCTATCAGGTATTTGAAATAAGAACGTTAAACGAGTCTGTTATATTTTAAATAAAGAATATCTATAAAACTATACATGTGGTAAATATCATAATATTGGTATAACCAAAGAGTTCATATTATTACTAGGAGCGATTAGTGATTATAGTCTATGGCATATTACTAATCTGAGACCGCGCTCTTTGCATGTTTGGATCCATTTCTATGTTTGTTGTATTGATCTTTTGCTTTTTTTGATCTTTTACTTAACTTTTTAATCGATGTTTTTTTTAACTAATTAAAACTTTTATTAATATTTTTTTCTGACCTTAGTAAGCCTAAACCAAAGTTTAAAATTTGAAACTGTAAATATTTGGTATGGAATTCGTTTTAATCAACTGAATTGGCGCAAGCGTACCGCTTCTAACATACAAAATAATTTATTAATATGATTCGTGTACTAATATACAAAAAAAACATACTAAGAGTATGTCACAATAGTGTAGTGTTTTAGGTCTGAAATTGAAAGATAAGAGATAAAGATAAAGAGACATGACAATGTTAAGAAATGCTGTTACTTCTAGTAGTACTTGGAAATCGACAGAAAGACAATAAAAAAAGCGATGGAATGGCTTCCTAACATAAATAAAAAGATGGGAAGATGATATAAGTAGAGTAGCGGGCCCTATATGGCTACGTAAAGCTAGACACAGAGAGAATGGAGGCCTATGTCTAAGAATAAGCTGTAAAATAGAAATTAAACCGGCTTGCCGATTAATTATTAGTGTTTATAGTACTTCACATTTTTATGTACTAGGATAAGTATTTTACAGTAATAAAAGCTATTATTATTATTATTATAGGCTTTACTGCAATATTAACAAATATCAAACGATTTAATTACAAGCTTCGCAGATTGGCCTATGTATATTCAGTAAAGTAAGATTATAGAAAAACAAAGGCCGGTGATATTACTTTTTAGTGTAAAATATTGAATTCTTTTGTGACATTCATTTATCAAGTCAGTCCCCAAAATTAAACAAAATAAAACTACGAAATTACTGTGATAGTTAAAACCTATTCTTCAACTACTCGATAAAGGATTTATCGTATTCTAAATTCAAATTTACATAAGTGGATTAAACTGAGTAGAAAGTATTTCATTAACATATACATACAAATAATATATTCCTTTATGAGTGCCTTTTGAGTATTTCAAAGAGAATGTAAAAATATTTGATCATTTTGAAAATGGAATGGGATTCGGGCAATTTCCTTGATACGTTCATACAAAAGTGTTTCTTTAGGCTCTTTGGTTTAAGTAGATCGAGCTTCTAATGTATGGTAGGGATTGGCTTTGTATTTTACTATTTGCTGACCTTTACAGGTGTATTTTAAGACTGTATGATCCGAAAATTATTTGAGAAACTAAATAGATTTTGGTATAGAAAACAAAGCTAAATACAAGTATTCATTTATCGATTATAACTATACAAAATTGTATGGAAAAATCGACCAGCTGTCATAAAGAAACATTATGGTATTTACGAAATCACGAAGAAACTGCTCTGTGATTTAATTGTAAATTTCTGAGAATATTGCCAGACAATAAGCAATATATATATATATATATATATATATATATATCGTATGTTTGTTTTTGACGTGACAACGTCTTATAATTCGATGGAGCCGGCTGCACGCACAAAAAAACATGACGCATGCGGCGTTACCTCTGAGGCGTTCCATTTAAGGTTTGAAGTGCAAGCGAGAGCGCGGAACGAGCGACAAAGAGGCACAATCGGCCACCGCATTCGGCAGCGTTCGACATCCGTGTATTTATGCGTACAAATAAATGTAACTTGATCAATTCAATTGTGATTTCCATTTTACCTCCTTCTCTAAATCCATACAAAATATCTATCAAACAAATAATTTTTTTTGAAATCTTTGTAATCTTTTGAAAAATGCAACCATTCCATCAGTATTATCTTATAACGTTGTCACGTTCAACTATCGTCAGTAAACCGACTTTACAGACAACCGATTTTTATATAGTTCGATGTACGTTATGATATAAAAATTAAATTTTTATCTTCTAAAGTAAACGACGGTCCGAAACATTGTAGATAATAAACACAGATAAACACGCAAAAGATTAAATTTATCAAAGACTGACTAATGGTGTATTTTTAAAATATTTTTTAATTACGTGTCCAACTTTGTTTTGTTTGTTTATAAATGTAATGTACTCACTAGCATGCTACATTGTTATATACAGCGCTGTATAAAAATCCAAAAATTCAAACATAGATTTTAACGTGAAACTACCACTTCTATGAAAAGGTTTCAATAGGCTATAGATGATAGCGGCTCGTTTGGCCAGAGGAAAACATTTTCAAATTCTGAATTGCGTATTTAAGTGAGAGTCGATACATATCTTGCTTTGACCACAAAGCATGGAGAGTTGCCTATCCGCATGTCAATACAAAACCTAAGCAATATTATTCTTCTAATGATGTTTATTTAAGCAATTTTTTTGAATATTATACGAGCGTGCAAATCTCATCCCTGAGGTTGTAGGTTCGATCCCCGTCTGTGTACCAATGGACTTTCTTTCTATGTGCGTATTTAACATTCGCTCGAATGTTGAAGTAAAACATTGTGTGTCAGGCACAAGGAGTCTTATCACCTACTTGCCTATTAGATTGTCAAATCTGAGGCCTAAAAAGGTTGTAGCACCACTGATTTTTATTTAAAATCTATGTAATTTTGGATGTTTTGCACTCGATCAAGAATTTATATCTCAAATTCAGTTATAAGAATTCACATACTATCAAATTAGAAATTTGAATGATCAATATTTCAATAACATATTCATATTCGTTACTTGAAACCGTTATATCCAGTCATTATAAGTGACGAAAAAGGTGGATTCGTGCTTGCTGCCTTGCCATATGGAGCACAAACTTGGATTTTCAAAAACAAAACAAGATCCAAAATACGCTCGTGCCAGAGTGCGATAGATATATAGATATATAAATTACGCGACAAACATAAAAGTAAATGCATTCGCAGAAAAATAAAAGTAATTGATGCTGAGCAACGTACCTACAACTTAAATGTAGATGGGCAAGGCACGTGGCCCGTTATACAGATGACATATGGTCTAAAACATTAACCGAATGGACTGGTCCAAAAGGAAAAGGAACAAGGGAGAACCATGAGCCGACGGGATCTAAAGGGTACCAGGAAAAATTGAAAGACGATGGCACACAATGAAATATTAAAAAAAGTTGGAGAAGGCTTGTTCCCGGACAGGGGCCGTATCTTAGAGTAGTAAAAATTGTATTTATATCTATTTTTATTAAATGTATGTCAATAAGATGTGCATGATTAAAGGGTTATTATTATAAGTGGGATATTGTGCCG